GCACATTTTGTGATTATAAGGAATATACACATTTTCTTTATGATAGTGGAGGATGTATATGAAATAATATTAAAGTTCTGAGTAGTCAGGGATGGATCTTTGAAATATGTAAAGCCAAAAGTAAGAGAATTTAAAAAAAAAGAGAACGCAGACAAATCTGCAATCATAGAGGGCGACTGCATGGCACCCCTCTTCGTAGCTGACAGAGGTAGCATGAAACCATGTACGAATGCCGGGAATCGAACAGCACAGTGAAAAAACTCGGTGTTAACTGATGGGCAGGGAGCACAGAATACACACCAAACAGCACCATTATTTATGCTCCTTTCTAGAATGTCTCAAACACTTACCAAAACTAACCAAATGCTGGGCACAAAGAAAGCATAAACAAATTTCAAAGGATTGAAATAATTCAGCATTATGCTCTATAAGCACAGTAGATGGAAGCTAGAAATCAATTTATATTACTTTTTCAATAGTTAGCAAGAAGACAACTAGAAAAATCCTCAAATGCCTGGAAATGAATGAATACATTTTTAAATAATCAACTTTTATTTTAAAAATCACCACTTTTATGTTTTTCGAACAAAGCTATAACCAAAATTAGAGCTCACACAGAGCCTTTAATTCTCTGGAGTGTGAAATGAGAAACGATACCAAAATCATTTGTTCAGTTGCTGAAAGTCACTGAGAGGTGAGACCATGAATTACCCACAGAGGCGCTTGGAGACCCTGGATGCACAGTGCAGGCGCATGTAACCATGCACACACCACATCACCTGGTGCAGAGGGTGACATGCTGTGCTAACAGCCCTTACTGTCCCCACCGGGCAGAGGGGTACACAACAGGCCCGGAGTCACTCGATAAAGGAATGGGGCTGTACAGTACAGACAAAAGATTGATATCCAGGATCTATAAAGAACTCCTCAAACTCAACACACACAAAACAGATAATCATATCAAAAAATGGGCAGAAGATATGAACAGACACTTCTCCAATGAAGACATACAAATGGCTAACAGACACATGAAAAAATGTTCATCATCACTAGCCATCAGGGAGATTCAAATTAAAACCACATTGAGATATCACCTTACACCAGTTAGAATGGCCAAAATTAGCAAGACAGGAAACAACATGTGTTGGAGGGGATGTGGAGAAAGGGGAACCCTCTTACACTGTTGTTGGGAATGCAAGTTGGTGCAGCCTCTTTGGAGAACAGTGTGGAGATTCCTCAAAAAATTAAAAATAGAACTTCCCTATGACCCTGCAATTGCACTACTGGGTATTTACCCCAAAAATACAGATGGAGTGAAAAGAAGGGCCATCTGTACCCCAAATGTTTATAGCAGCAATGGCCACGGTCACCAAACTGTGGAAAGAACCAAGATGCCCTTCAACGGACGAATGGATAAGGAAGATGTGGTCCATATACACTATGGAGTATGATGCCTCCATCAGATAGGATGAACACCCAACTTTTGTAGCAACATGGACGGGACTGGAAGAGATTATGCTGAGTGAAATAAGTCAAGCAGAGAGAGTCAATTATCATATGGTTTCCCTTATTTGTGGAACATAACAAATAGCATGGAGGACATGGGGAGTTAGGAGAAGGGAGTTGGGGGAAATTGGAAGGGGAGGTGAACAAGGAGAGACTGTGGACTCTGAAAAACAATCTTAAGGGTTTGAAGAGGTGGGGGGGTGGAGGTTGGGGGAACCAGGTGGTGGGCATTAGAGAGGGCACGGATTGCATGGAGCACTGGGTGTGGTACAAAAACAATGAATACTGTTATGTTGAAAATAGATTTTTAAAAAATGATTTAATTAAAAAAAAAAAAAGGAATGGGGCTGACGTTCAGATCTAGCCTCTCCTGAAGGTCACGCCTACATGCCCCCGGGAGCACAGAACGTCCCTAACTCTGAGCATGAGGTCATGCAGAGGGCTGCAACCTTACGACCTGGCGCACCAGGGCGTGACCCGGCGTCCAGGGAACCCTGGCTAAGTCACACCGCCTCCGGGACTTCAGGAACGTGTTCGTGTCCCCCACCCGGGGAAGTGCACCATCACAGCAAAGCCTCTTTCCCCAGAGCTGTTTTCCTTACTTGAACATATAAATTTCCAAATACTATCTCAACTAAAATTGAAGATACCCCAAATGGCACTTCCCGTGGCCATTGTTTAATGTGTCCCTCCTACTTTAATGTGTCCTACCCCCCATTGTTTAATGTGTCCTCCTACTCCTAATGTGTCCCTCCTAATGTCTTTCGATGTTTGATACACATGGTAGAACCATGTGAGGACCCGAGTGAGTTTGTTCATCTATTTTTGGGTAGATGTAAACTCAACCCTTTATTACAAGAACTGCACAATGTGCTTCCCCGAATGCCAGGTTACGAGACGCTCAGCACACGGACAGTGTAGACGGCAGAGAACACAGTGGACGGTACCCCTCCGGGCCAGAAACCACTCTTGCACAAAACCCTCATGCCGCCGCGGGACCTGTCCCGGTACCGCCCACCCAGCATGGGTTCGGCAGGTGCGGCGCCTCATTCCGCCACCAGACGGTGCGGAATGAGGCGCCGCAGCAGCTCGGTTCAGAGTCTTACTTCAGACCGAGGAAGGCTCCTTTCCCAGCGCCCTGCAGGTACTGCAGACGATTAACTATCACAACGTTAGAAAGTCCGCTACAGTCTAAAAAACTTCACTTTTTTAAAGTTTTCTCTTAACCGAGCTAAGTGTACCAAAGCAAAAATGCTACCAGAGAGCGTGAGTGCCAGGCCCAGGGGGCACCGACGACAGACTCCCACAGCTACCGCACGGGTGTGGTCTGGAGGGACGCTCGTTACAGCGGCTACCGCGGAAAACAGTTTCAAACAGAATCCAAATATAAAACCGAAAACCAGGACCATGTGCGCGTGAGCGTCACACACATACACACAGAAACTAGACTAAGTTTTCCTGAAACTCGTCTCATACTAATAATATCTCAAAACACCTCTCCAGGGAACACCGGCACGGCTGGGGCAGCGACAGTGCGGGCCACGCAGGCTGTGCAGAGCCACAGACAGAATGTGCGTCCACGCTCTGCAATTAGTTCCCTCCTCCTCCGGCCGGTGCTCATCTACAAATTGTAAGGACGTTATTTTAGGGAAACAACCCATTTGCAATGCCCAGTTGGTGCAATGGAGAGACAGAAGTCGCTGACGCTGCACCCTGAGAAAGAGGCGCAGTGGGCCTCTCCTGAAAACCGGTACTTTCCTGACACCTGGTCAATTCAGGTCATGTTGCTTGGTGGCTACTTGAAGCGCCTCCCTCCACAGGCAGTACTTCTGGCCTCGGTTTGGCCGTGACTCAACGTAAGGAAGAACCCATAGGAACTGATGGTCAGAAGACACTGCAATTTGACTTTATCTGTTCTTGTGCTAAAGCTATAAACTGTCCAGTTCAAAATATTTCGGTAACAACCTCACCAACATGCAAGGAATACCAACCTGTGTTTTTGTTTCTCAAAAACAGCCCTGGACACAACACAGATGACAACAACAGACATTCTACCACTACTTAAAAAGCCAGTCATGTGCGCACGCACAGAAATCTGAAAGAACACATCAGCAAAAAATAAGTAATAACCTTAAACTGCCAGATGTAGTAATATCGAATAAATAAGAATATTTTTCTAACTCAAATCATTCGTTAAGTTCCATTTCTTTTGATGTAAATGTTATCTGAGCAAACACTACTTACACATTGGCAAATGGGTAGGGTTTCCTATAACTTTTCATTTCGGTTGGGGTTTCCCATGACTTTCAAACACTATGGTCACATGTCCAGCATCAGCACCGTGACCCACCAGCCCTTCTGCATTGCTCCTGTAGGCAGGCGTAAAAGGTACTGGGGTTGGCCATAAGCTTTTTTACTCCTCACAACGACCCTGAAAATGGATGCCGCCACAGAGATTTACAGAGGAGGAACCCGAGGTGTGACAAGGCTGGCCTGCTGGAGGTCACAGGCCCAGTACAGAAAGGAGAGTTTTCACGTGGCTCTAACTGATCCATGGCATTTGCCTAAAACATCCTCTGTATCAGCTGGCATCACTGAAGGACAGTCCTGCTTGGCCTATGTTCTGGAACTCTCTGTAAATCTCCTTCAGGGTAAGCGCTTCCTCCGACATGTCCTCACACTTGTCATCCATTCCCTGCTGCTCTGCACAGTAGGAACGCCACACTCGAGGAAGGCGTGCTTGTCCTTAAACAACACGCTGGGCTACACACAGGGATGGGATCTGCTGAGCCCTCCCAGGGCCGCCTCTCTGAGCTTCCAGAGCGTGAGGTCTGGCCACTGACCCAGGGACATGAGACCAAGCGGCCAGCCTGTGCCCTCAGCCCCGTGCCCCTCACACTGTGGACAAGTCCCTCCTAATTTCTAGGACACGAGTGATGCACACACACTGCATTACCCAGTGCAGTTGGTGACATGCTGTGCTAACAGCCCTTACTGTCCCCACCAGGCAGAGGGGTACACAACGGGCCCAGAGTCACTCAATAGGGGAATGAGGCTGACGTTCAAGCTGCTCAACTCACGCCCCAGGGCCTGTGGTCTCCCTCTCCGGGAACTCACCCCAGGACCGTGTGCATGGGGATGGGGCATAACGTTGTACATCACCAACCTTTTTTGAGAAAAACTTAAAACTGTTACCAATTAGTCAAAACGTGGAGTTCAAACAATTGCTATCGTTTTAGTCAACCAACTGTTGACTATTCGCTGTGACTAACTTTACTGTCCTGGGAGGATTATTTTGTCCTATGTGTTCTTGATGACACACAACAGAAAAGACACGTTTCACAGTCGGGTGGGATGAGCCCGGAATGCGCTTTTCCAGGTCCTGAGGCAGATGCTCTCACATGCTCTACTGTGTGAAAATAACTGACAGTAACGGACAAACATACCCTCACGCTTGGGATGAATGACAGCACGTTCACAGTGCGAGCCCTTACCAGCATGCAAGTAAGCCAGGTCCGGGTTCTCGATGTCGGGGTGCTGCTCCTTCAGGTGGTTCCGGAACTCCACAGGCACGTTCGTTCCATAGTCACACTTAGGGCAGTTGTACATCTTCACTCCTTCGTGTTTGCCAGTGTGTAAAATGTGCTTTCGGATGTTTTCAGCACAGTTTGACCTACCAAGAAAGGAAGTCAAGTAACCCACGTTAAGGTCGAATCAGCACCATGAGACCGCGGACGAGGATACGAGCTAAACGTATGGAGGCCTTCCTGTGGGCCAGGCCCCAGTCGAGGGCTGTCCTGGTGCAGTAATTTCCACGCGTGTAACACGGTCATCCCATGACGCTGGTAGTGTCTGTGAACTCTGGTGCTAATTTTTAGTTTGATCTTTAACCTTCGTGATCCAGTTCTATGTGGAACCTGAAGCACAAAATCCCGGGTTCTACGATTTTACTATCAGATTATTCTGGTGCCACTTGAGGGCACTGAAGGAGTTTCCTTAACCCCAAGAATACACCTTCCACCAGGGAGGAGTGGTGCAAAGAAAAGCACTGGGGCCTCATTGAATTTAGAGCACTGAGGAAACAAAGCAGCTGTGGCTTTTAAGTTCTGTCAAGTGAGCTCTAAAACAGCATGAAGACAGAAAAGCAGCAGTGGGTCGGGCGCCCAGGAGCTCTCCACGCTGGTGTCGGTTTCGAAGCGCGAGGGGCTGAAAGATACAATGGAGGCCCCGTATTCCGTATGCCAGATAGTCCTGAAAGTAGGGAGAGGGTCCTCTCCGACCGTTCTCCTACCAGTTCAGAAAGGCAGGGCCTGAGGTGCCCGGATGCCAGGGAACAGGCCTGAGCTCCAGGAAGCACGCTCTTCCACCTGCTGCCTCCTCCCTCTGCGACTCTGGGCATCAGACACTGCACACCTAGACCCTTTCCGAACACATACACAGCTGCTTTCTCTGTCTCTGTTAGAACAGTACTAAAAAGGGCACTGCAGATGCAAGCAGGTTGGCCGGGGAAGGGGGACAGGGTGTGCACTTAACTAGAAACAAAAAATCAGGCTGGCCTCAAATTTCCCACAGAGCAAAATCAAATGCCAAAAGAAAAAAATCAAGCAACAGAATCATCAGCATCTCTGGAGGGTACCGCCGAGCACAAAATTCCTACAGAAATTGTCTGAAGTGAAGCTTCCATGACCAATGAGTTAGGAAAACGGTAGTTAGCAAACCCATCTCGCATGTCACCAGACGATGAAAGGTCCTACGCGGAAGCTTCGCGAGGCTCTGTGCCCCAACACTCAGGTGGGATTACACTTGTGTGTAACACTCTGCGCAGCTGACTTCGCCGGAGGTGCTCTAAGAACACTGGTGAGGACAGCGAGAGCGGTTACAGCCCAACAACTGCACCATGCCAATACTGTCACTCACGGGTAAAGGCAACATCAGAAATCCCGAGAGCCGGTACACACGTCGTCCCTTCACGCACGCGGAGAGGAGAATGGAGGAGTATCAGGAGAGCAAGTGGAGCTCATGACAGCAGCTCTAGGAACAGCACTCCCCCGACGTGGAGGGACAGGGACAACCTCTCCTAGAGACACCCAGATGAAGCGGAAATGCAAATACCGTCCGCGTGAATGGGCGTCCGTGTAATGGGAACAGTCTTGTAACTGGATCCAAGCCAGCTCCTTGGAGAAGCTTGGGCTGAATCCCATCCATCCCCAGAAAGAACCTGTCCTGAAAAGCATGTGCCCAACTATGTACAGAGTTAGAAAGATTAAACCAGACAATTCCCTCTATAGCTGGACCAGAAAGCACAGCAAGATTGGAATGCAACTACACAACAATGCCCGCTTCCATTTTCCAAATATACTTTGATTATATATTATTTCCATTAAAAATTTCATAACAACAACAAACACCTTTAAAAATAAGAAGAATCAGAACACCAGAGATTTTTTTCAGCTTCTATAAGCTTTGCCTTTGGCTAGGGTTCTGTCAAGCTTTATACTCAGTTTCTGAATAAACCTTAGACTTAGACTAAATAGACCTTACGTTTGTGAAAATATGCATATACAGCTTATCTCTTTCTTGCCACTGCTGAATTACCAGACTTGCTTTTTCTATAAATCCCTACTGTTAATCATCACCGTACTAAGTAAAAACTGAATAAGCAGCTCTCATGTCCTCTGTGCTGGCCACTGGCCTGCTACTCTGAGGCCCTCACATGACTCCTAGAGGCAGAGACAGTGAGAGATTCTACAGAGAAGGGGGGAGCACCAGGAGATGAGCTGGCCATCAACGGTTAAGACCTCCATCCTTACATGTAAGCGTATCAACAATACTAGGCACAGTCGAGGGAAAGGGAGAGATTGTAGAGTCTCTTGATTCTATAAATATCCTTGGAATAATAGCATCATGTTGAAAAAGTAACCGGAGAACATCTGGGAGTGGATGAAACACATGTCCACTTCTGTGGCAATTAAAAGGAAGAGGACCATGTTTTGAATTCCCCCACTAGCTGAGTGAGCCCCTCCCAATCAGTCCCATAATTCTGGAGATCTCCCACTGGTGTTCCATGACACCCCCTCAACACACCCGTGTGTATGGACACCGGGGAGTGAAGGGAGAACAAACAGCCCCCACTGTATTCAGTTGGCGCTGTTATAAGGACTGACCACTCTCTGGTACCACTGACATTATTTCCTCATGGAAAAAGCAAGGCATCAAAAATTATCAAAGACAAGTAAGCGAAACCACAGGAGGGGGAGATGAACCATGAGAGACTGTGGACTCTGAGAAACAAACTGAGGGTTTTGGAGGGGAGGGGGGTGGGGGGTTGGGTGAACCTGGTGGTGAGTATTGAGGAGGGCACGGATTGCATGGAGCACTGGGTGTGGTGCATAAACAATGAATTTTGGAACACTGAAAAAAATTAAATTAAAATAAAAAAAAAAATCATCAAAGACAATCCTGATCAAGTGAGGTAATCAGAATTACCAAACCACCACCTTCAATCTGTAACACATACTGAAACACAAGACAACATAAAGCAATGGATCCTCATCTCCAGGGACGGTCTTGAAGAGGTGACACTGAAAACAGTATTTTGGTTTTGGAAAGGGTGTGTCTTGGACAAAAATAAACCAACAACTCTTAGTACCTAAATAGCATGTGGGAGCCAACAATCAGGAGACTAACGGTGAAGCAAGTGAAGGGGGGTAGAATTTAAAAAGATGAGAGGCTTCTTTTTATTCAAAAATAGAGACTAAAACAAGAAGTGCTGTGTTCGCTGATATTTCACAAGGTATTAAGGGCCACTTCATACACACAGGTCCACATACACACACACGCACATTTTTATCTATACTATACATACTGCTCATATATTTTATGTATAATACAAGTATATATATATATATATATGTTTTAATAATTTTTTCACACAAATAGATAAAATTAAATTAAATCAAATACGTGCTAATTAAATACATTAGGATTAAATACAGGCTAACAAGAATGTAAAACAGCCAATGCCCGTCTGCAGTAGGAAAGATACATACAGTTCACGATGGCCGCGTACCTGAGTGCAGTCAAAATCTGTTCCTCTGCCTTTAATGTCACGCCATAGAAAACTTTTTAAAATATTGGAACAAAAATGAGCCTTTCGCATCTACCAAATCAAACTGTTGTGATCGAAGGCTAAGAAGTGAAAGCTAGGACGTACTGCGCTTCACTGCGGAGCACCTGAAGGAGGCAGAGGCAAACGCTCCTCCCGGCATTCGAGAACATCTCGTCACATGCCACAAAACTCGAGGAACAATGAATAGATCGGACACCTTCTGGTAAGTAATTCTGAATGCTAGTTAGCCCGAAAATGCTCATTCTTCCCACAAACAGGGATGGGCACGGCAAATCAACGTGGTGCTAAGCAAGGCTGGTGGCACAGGAGAAGGCGGGGCTCTAAGACGTCGCTTCCAACAGCCCCGTGCCTAAATCTCCAGGCATAACAGCAGTTTAGCCAGCCGGGCACACACACAGTCATTACGAATGCTTGTCTGAACAATGTCTTCACTTTGACACTGATTTTTAATGTAAAAAGCTTATTTGTGTCCCATGTTCATAGACTGTAAGACTTGATATTAGGATGGCGATACTCTCCAAACTGATGTCCGGATTTAATGCACTCCCTGTAGGGGTGCCTGAGTGGCTCAGTCATGAAGCCTGCCTTCGGCTCAGGCCGTGATCCTGGGGTCCTGGGACTAAGCCCCATATCAGGCTCTTTGCTCAACAGGGAGCCTGCTTCTCCCTCTCCCACTCTCCCTGCTTGTGTTCCCTCTCTCGCTGTCTCTGTCGAATAAATAAATAAATAAAATATTTAAAAAAACACAGTACTGTCAAAGGCTCAGTGGGATGTTTTACAGAAATGAAATGCTGCTCTGAAAGTTCATATGGAAATGCGCAGGGCCTGCCAGAGCCAATACGGTCTCTGAAAAGAACCTCGTTGGAGGACTCACACGTTCTGAGCTCAGAAGTTACTCCAGAGCCACAGGAATCAAGACCCGGTGGCAGAAGAAAAAGGACAGCTACTCAGGACTTGGCACGGGAAGCTAGAGCAGTGTGGTTTCTCCGAAGTTAGAGGCCTGAGCACCGGCCGCAGGCTCCCCGCTAGGATTAGGGATGCAGCCCTTCCTGGGACCATGATGTGCACGCACGGTGTGAACGGAAAGTTATGGGAAACTCAGAATTAGATTTGGGGATGTGATGTGTTGACAGTCTTGAGGCAGCTTATGGGAGATACATAGAGTAAGGTACTAGGCATTACATAACCTGGTGTACACAAATGGGGCAATAACCAAAGGACCAAAATGGGAACTCATTTTAAGGCTTCTTAAAATATATGTAATAAAGGAAATACTTTATTCGGTCAAAGGCAATGTGTATCAAAATAATGACCAGAACATTAGAAGTGCTTCTAGAGCTCCGCAAAATTATTTATTAGCACTACTTACTAACTCACTATTACACAAAAAGCATTAAATTAAATTTATATTTATTCTAAGGAAAAGGAAGCTCAAAAAATTATGAATTTTTCCCTCTTTTGATATATGTTGTTTTGGTTATTAAAACAAAAAGCACCAGTGGAGCTGTTGAACAAACACACATCTGCGTATTTCAAACAAAAGG